CGTGGGCTGGCTGCCCAAAACAGTTCCATGAGTTTGGTGGGTTTTGCCGGTCACTTCAGTAAAAGGGAAAAAGTTAATAAAGTACCGAATGGATCCCCCTGGCTCTCAGCAGTGATTGTTCCCCTCTGTCGAATGCACCAAAGTACCGAATAGCGCTCTTCTAGCTAATCAGGAATTAGAGTTCCAGCGTTCGTCTGTTTGAGACCGGTGTTCGGGAAGTCGAGTTTCCGATTTTCGTTCCAGACACTTGACGACCAAGTCCCGCTGCCTTTGTTCGGCTGAAAAAAGATGGGCGCGGTTTTCTCAGCCACGTGGCGTTTGGTAGTATGAATGCTGGCCGCACAGATAGAGGGGTTGATTCATGATTTCTTTGAAGCTTAATGAGCCAGGGGGGTGGTCTTTGTTCGGTAGTTAAATCTACCGAATGAATAAAGGTAAAATTAGGGGAATAACTAGTGAATAAATAGGGATTTCTTCACACTGCTCCCCTATAAGTCCATACGTCGGCATTCCCGCCTAGACCCTGTCTGGTTGGCTTGGGGATGTCCGAGAAACGTGGTTTAGGCGTCCAGGTCGGTCTGTCGGTATTGCATCGTGAAGTTATACGGCTGAAGGGCTAGGCTCCACCGCAATAGCCTGGGATTGTCCCCAGCTACTCGGTTTAGCCATACAAGGGGGTTGTGGTTGGTCATAAGCGTAAATGGTCGTCCATACAGATAGGGCTGTAGTATCTTGAGAGCCCAAACTAGAGCTAGGCACTCCTTTTCCACGGTGGCATAGCTGACCTCCCTGGGCAAAAGTTTACGGCTGAGGTATGCCACCGGGTGTTCCATGCCGTCGCCCCCACTTGGCTTAACACGGCTCCCATCCCAAACATGGAGGCATCTGTGTGGCCAGAAATTGTTTAGTATGGTTGGGTGTTACTCAATGCAGCTTTAAATCTCTGAAACGCATCCGTGCACTCTGGGGTCCAGGTGACTTGTTTTGGAAGGGCCTTTTTGGTAAGGTCGGTGAGGGGTTTGGCCAGGGCGCTATACTCTGGGAAAAATTTTCGGTAGTAGCCAGCCGTCCCTAAAAAGGCTAACACCTGGGTTTTGGTCCGAGGTTGGGGCCAATTAGCTATGGCTTCTACCTTAGCGGGTTCTGGACACTGTCTACCGGAACCAACCCGGTGGCTGAGATACTGTACCTCGGCCATGCCCACGTGGCATTTGTCAGGTTTCAATGTGAGACCGGCTAAACGAATTCGCTTGGGCACCCTGGACAAGTGGCTCAGGTGGTCCCCCCACGTGTGGCTATAGATGGCAATATCATCTAGATACGCGCACGCGAAGTCCTGGAACCCCTCTAAGAGCCTGTCGGCCATCCTCTAAAAGGTAGCCGGGGCATTCTTCATCCCAAAGGGCATAACCCTGAATTGGTATAGCCCAAATGGAGTGACGAATGCTGACTTTGGGATGGCCGCAGGCTCCAAAGGGATCTGCCAATACCCTTTGCACAAATCCAGTGTGGTCAAGTAATTCCCCCCCAGCCATGCGGTCTAATAACTCATCTATCCTGGGCATGGGGTAGGTATCAGTTATGGTGCGATCGTTGAGTCTCCGATAGTCTACACAGAAGCGCGTGGTGCCGTCGCGCTTCGGTACAAGCACTACCGGGGAAGCCCAAGGACTCTGGGAGGGTTCTATAACCCCTAACTGGAGCATATTTCTGCAAGCATATTTTCCCGTACTGCCTCAGGGATACGATAGGGTTGCTGCCGTAACGGCGTTTCTCCCTGGGTTTCTACATGATGTACCTCAGCGGAGGTATAAACAACTAAATACAATAAGTTGTGTAGGTGCTTCCAATATTAAATATAACAATAAAAGTGAGTGTGAAAAAAGGTGTAATCCCTTAACACCTAAGAAACAGAGTAAAAGAATATAAATAGATTCACACACAGTAGAGAGTACAGTATGTAAATATACCACCTATTGAAGATATGGGTATAGTAATTACACCTGTAAAACAAATAAAATACACATAGTGTTTTCCATATAAAAAAATACACAATGCTTATAATATATGAGGAATAAACTCACAAGGATGGAGCCTAATTGGCTCTATGTATGTCGCCCTTGGGTGCCTATGCAGGCTCTCGATAAGCTTCCTGTGAAGAACTCGAATTCCACAAGTGAAAATATGAATATAAATTTATTGGATAAACTTATTAAAAATATATATATATAAAATAGGGACAAGAATGAGGCAGGTATAAAAAATCGAATATAACACAGTATCGTACCGCAAATATGGCCAAGAATTAAAAGCAGTGAGAATACCCAAATATATATACAATATAAGAATACCGCCAACAGAAAAAGTCCCAATAAAAAGTCCAGTGTAGAGCAAATGCGTTTCAGTCCTCAATGGGGCCTTCCTCAGTGCTGTATTCCTGGAGCAACTTCAGGGTTTAAATAACCCCCTTGATATGATTAAGTCTGTTCAGCTGAAGTTCAAAATTAGTGCCGATTACATCACTTCCGGTTTCGGCAAACCACACGTGACTTCCGGTTTGATCTGCATTCCACCATGCATTCCATCCTCAGGCATGATGGAAATAGAGGTCATAAAGTTATTAAACATTGGTCGATACATCTAAAATAGAGCATGAAGTAAAGAAAAAAAATAAATCTAAAGCAAATCCCACTTCCGGTTTCGGCAGTGTGCACGTGACTTCCTGTTCGGCATAGTCACGTGTTGCCTTTGCGTTCCACCATGCGTTCCATCTCTAGACATGGTGGAAATGATGTCAGAGGAGTCCATATTAGTAAAGGTTATATGCCCATACATGCAATATAAAAATAGAATTAAACATAAAGCAATAATATAGTGAATCTTAAGCTGTGAGTAACATGGAGAAATATTGATAAAATATAAAACTTCAAAAAATGTATATATGAAAAACGGAATGTATATTTAAGGGGAAAGTGTCCATTAAGATTAATAGTTAATAAAAATGAATATACATATATAAAATATATTCTTCAATATAAAAAAATTAACAATATCAACAATATTAAAAACATTAAAAATATTAAAAATATTAAAACTATAAATATTGAGTCTCTTCTCTTCTCATTTCAATTATAAATAAAAATTATAAAAAATTAACTAACTCAAAATCTATATTCAGACCTTTAGGGCACATGGTATCTAAAGTGAAAATCCATTTGCCCTCTAGTCTGCTGAGTTCTCGGACATTATCCTCCCCTCTCCAATCCATCCGCTTCTTCCCAATCACCATAAAATTTAAAAGAGAAGTATCACCATTATGTTGTTCAAGAAAATGTGCTAATACACTATGTTTGGTGTATCCCCTCCTTATATTCCCCATGTGTTCCATAATGCGGGTTTTAAAACTCCTAGTGGTCATGCCCACATATTGGAGTCCACAGGGGCACCAGAGGAGATACACCACATTAGTAGAGTGGCATGTGACGATATCACGTATCTTGAAACAACTTGTAGCAACCTGTAACATTAGACTTGTTACAACCTGTAACATTAGACTTAAACATAGTCTGTGTGTCTTTCTTAAAAAGGGTGTTCTTACACGGTAGGCACATTTTGCAAGGATAAAAACCTGGTTTTTGATTAAAAAAATTCTTCTCTTGCTGCTTACAATTTATAAAACTTCGAACTACATAGTTTTACTAGGCAATCTTTAATATTCTTAGCGCCTTTAAAAATAATGTTCGGCCTATGCCCTATAATGTCCTTCAAGTCCTCATCTGTTTTGAGAATGTGCCAATGTTTATTGATTATATGTTTAACTTGTTTAGAGTTAACACTATAATCTAAAATCAGAGGTACATGTTCATTTTCTTTTATTAATGTATCATTCTTCGGTTTATACTTAACACTTCAGTTCTTTCCATGTTTTTTACTTGATGGACCTGTTGCTTCAAAATTATTGGATCATAACACTTTTCTTTAAAGAATGAAGCTGACATATTAACTTCATCTTGTAAATACGTACAGTAACAACGAAGGTATTGTTCCAGACATTGATTGACTCGTACTGTTTGGCCATTTGTTTGCGGATCGTATGCTGAAGAAAGTTTACGTTGGATTTGAAGTGAAGAACACATTTCCTTCCAAAAACGTGAAGTAAATTGAGAACCTCTGTCTGAGATTATTTCTTCAGGGAATCCATGTAATTTGATTATATTGTCAATAAAATTTTGGAAAGTTCAGAGGATGAGGGTAACTTTTTCAAAAGAATGAAATGTGACATTTTTGTGAAAGGTCTACTACAGCAAGGATGGTGGTGTATTTCTGAGAAGGAGGGAGTTCCACCATAAAATCCATGGAAATAGATTGCCAAGGTCTCCCAGGTACTGGTAATCCTGTCAATAATCCATAAGGAAGGTGACGTTCCGCTTTGGACCTTTGACAAACTGGACAAGATTTTACATAAGTTTCAATGGTTGTCTTGACGAGGCCACCAATATTGTCTAGTAAAGAGTTCAATTGTCTTTTTTATCCCGGGATGTCCAGCAAGGGGAGAATCATGAATTAATTTTAAAAGGTTATGTCGGAGTTTTGGAGGAATATAAATTCTATTTTTGAAATAAAAGATTCAATTTTTTATGAACAATTTAGGAGTAGAAGGTAGTTCAAGTTCTTTGAGATATAATTGTTTCAGTTCATCCAATATAGTAGTTGTAAGTCCAATTATTTTATTGTTTGATAACATTGAGAAAGTTTTCTCTTTTGGAGAAGGATTAACAGGAATTCTGGAAATAGCATAAGCTTTTTTGTTACCAAATACATCAGAAAAATCCGAATATGGTTCTGGTATTAGAGTTTCATGACTTAATTGAAATATAGGAATTTGAGGGAGACAATTGTTCTTTCAATAATCTGATTCAAAGTTGAGAGAGAAAGGAGCCCAACGGATGAAGGGATTATGAATTTGTAACAAGTTGATTCCTAAGATGATTGGAAAAAGGGGGGATTTTATAATATCGAAAACAATAAATTCTGAATGATTATTATTGATAGTGGTCAAAATAGGAATAGTTTCATTTTTATGGGACCAGAGGGGATTAAAGATCCATCAATAACTCTGATGGAGACAAAAGATGTTTTTTGCAGACAAGGAATTTTATTGGCTTCAACAAACGAAGAATCTATGAATATCCCCGTAGCACCAGAATCAATAATGGCCTCAGTCTTGATTCTTTCTTTGTCCCACTGTAAATTTAGAGGTACAGCAAACTGATGAGAGGAGGAAGAGGGTAGTGTTTTCAGAATTGAGGTATTCATTTTAGGCTTATCTCCCTTAGAATGTTTTAGAAGAGGACATTCTTGTAAGAGATGTTCATTAGAGGCACAGTACATACAGAGATTTAAGTCTCTCCTCCTTGTTTTTTCTTCCATAGATTAAGGTCCCCTAGTAAACCCAACTTCCATAGGTTCACTGGGTTGCAAGGGTTTATTAGGCATTAGCAAAGGTGGACTGGGTTTTTTCCAAAATGAATTAGAGAGAGCCTTTTCAGCTTTACATTCTCTGATTCTTCTATCTATACTGATAGAAAGTTGAATTAATGTATCAAGCGTTGGAGGAAGAGTGGTTCTAGATAATTCATCTTTAACTGTTTCAGACAATCCTAAACGGAACTGATTACGTAGAGCTATATCATTCCATTGGGGTTCTGAAGCCCATCTTTTGAACTCAGCTATATAATCCTCCACAGGACGATTTCTTTGTTGTAATAATCTAATAGTAAGATCAGCAGTAGCTTGTTTATTAGGGTCCTCATAATGTAATTACATTGCCTCAATAAAATTATCTAAAGAATCCAAAATAGGATCTTCATTTTCCAGAAATGAATGTGCCCAGGACATAGGTTCACCCCTTAAGTAGGAAATCATTGAACAGACCTTAATCCTGTCTGTCGGGTAAACCCTGGGTTTGAGAGTAAACAATAATTTGCATGAATTCAAAAATTCTCTATATTTGGAGCAATCTCCATAAAATTTTTCGGGATTGCAGACAGCACGGTCACTTGAAGAATCTGTAACTTTATTTTGCATTTCTCTAATATGAGAAAGAAGTCTCTCATTAGCAATTTGCAAATCCTGCATGCCTTGTGTGAGTATTTCAACCCTGTGGTTTAAAGAGGTAATTTGGGAATTCACATCTGCTGGTTCCATTTTGAGGCTTCGTGATTCTGTTATGCTACTTGGGTTATTTGGATTGGAACTCAACTGCAGCTTGTAGAACTCCTTAATCACAATAGTAAAGAAACGAATAATCTTTAAAGCATCAATACTGTAGCTTTAAGAAAAGAGAGGATTGCTGGCAATTTGAGAATCAAACAAAGTTTTAATGATTGATAAACTTAAAAATGAATTGCAGATAGGCAATAATCGAGTAAGAAGAAAGTGCAGGATATCAAACAATACAAAGTTCATTAATAAGTATTTCCTCAGAGAAGTATTAAATAAGATTCTTTAGGTTGCTGGGAATAATCTTCAATAGAAACATTAAGCAGGTAGCAGAGAGTATTTGCAAAGCAAGACACAGTTGCTAGTAAATAAGCATGATGGGAGTTGTCCTCCATGTAATTAGTAACTTGAAGCAGAGAAGATTTGAGCAAGCAGGAATTGGTTCCTTAATAAATGATATGGCAGACAATAGTTGAAAGATATACTTAAGGTTAAGGTGAGTTGTCCTCCAAGAGTTCAGAGTTATAGTCCACTTGTAAATTAGCAAAGTATCCGTTCTCCAGTAATCCTCTATGGCATGCAGCTTAATCCTTGCATTGGCTCAAAGGCTAGGACGGCTTGTCAGAGCTTGTGGAGCCGGCGTGTATACACAGAAGTAGGTCCCACAATCACCAAGCGCCTTCTCCATGGCGCGGTCTCCCTAAGTAGCCGTGTCAGAAGGGGGCGGGGCCGGCTCCGCAATGCGGAAGTGCCGAACCCGGAAGAGATACCGCATGACAATTTGCTCACAATATAGGTGGTATCACTTATGCGCTCTACCACCTTAAAGGGCCCCTGCCAGGCCGGCTGCAGCTTGTCCTTCTTGGCAGGTCTCAGGGCAAACACTTTCTGTCCTATTTCTAATACCCTATCTCTGGTGCCCCTATCATACCACTTCTTCTGGCATTCCTGGGCCGCCCGCAGGTTCTCCCGAACAGTTTCGGTGAAAGCCCGTAGGCGGTCACGGAACTCCAGAATGTACTGGACAATGGGAATCCCCCCCAACTGTGCTGCCCTCCCAGTGTTCCTGTACGAGATCCAGGGGGCCCCGAACTTTTCTCCCGAACAGGAGTTCGAAGGGGGAAAACCCGGTGGATGCCTGGGGCACTTCGCGGTAGGCAAACAGAAGATAGGGTAGATACTTTTCCCAATTCCTGCAGGACTCTGCGAAGGTTTTCAGCATCTGCTAAGTGTTCACATAGCCCATTGGTCTGGGGATGATAGGGGGCGCTGAATAGGGCTTTTACTCCGCAGCTCTGCCACAATTGCTGGGTCAGGAGGGCTGTGAACTGAGTCTCTCGATCGGACAGGATCTCCTGGTGAAAACCTACCCGGGAGAATATTTTAACTAGGGCCTCCGCCACGGTCTCGGCCTCTATGTTCGCGAGGGCTACTGCTTCCGGGTATCTAGTGGCGTAGTCCACTACAGTTAAAATGAATTTCTTGCCGGACTGACTGGGTCAGCTGAGAGGTCCTATTAAGTCCACTGCGACTCGGTGAAAGGGCTCCTCTATAATGGGTAAGGGGTGAAGTTTGGCTTTCTGGTGGTCACCTCTCTTCCCTATTCTTTGTCATATGTCACACGTCCTACAATAATACTTAAGATCTTGCGTGATCCTAGGCCAGAAGAACGTTTGTGTCAACCGGTCCCTCGTCTTTTTGACCCCTAGATGTCCTGCTAGGGGAATATCATGACTGAGTTTTAATAACTCAGCTGAAAACGTACGGGGTACTATTAGTTGTCTTTCAGTGACTTGTGTGGCCCCGCGTCCCACCCCTCCTGTCACTCGGTACAACAATCCCTTATACCATTCAAACTTTTCGTGGGGGGTGTCCCCCTTAGTGACCTCTACGGCCTTTCTATACCCTTCTAGTGTGGAGTCTGTCCGCTGCTCTTGTTCAAATCCCTGTGATGTATCCCAGAAGGTGGTAGGGGGATCGGGCAAAGGGGGCATGTCAACTCCTACCTGGTTGTCCTCAGACTTCAGCGGTGCTTCCAGTCTGGCTTAGGCTCGGGTGGTAACTGGGTAGGCTTCCGACATAGTGTCCCGTGTTAGTTGGGAGGTTAAACAGCCGACGTCATTTCTCAATAAGACCTTGGCTGGCAGTTCCTGCATAATGCCAACCTCTAACTGTTTGGACCCAGAACCCCAGTCGACAAGGACGTTAGCTGTAGGTAGCTTGTGTATGGCACCCCCAGCCACCCTTACGGCTACGGTGCGTCCGGTGCGAGTTTGCGTCTTGACCGTGTGGGGTTGTACAACCGTTAGAGTGGCCCCAGAGTCTCTCAGAGCTCGGGTCCCTACGCCATTCACTGTAATCCATTGGCGGTGGTGGTCCCGGTTGTCGCCCTCAGATTGCACTGGATTGACCTCATGTAGATTTTTTTTGGGTTCCTACGCCCATGAGTATTACACAATCTGTATATGTATAAAAAAAATATAAAAAGTAATCTGCAAAGTACAAAATGTTTGTGTCATATGTAGTGATAAAAATTAAGCTAGGAATATGCATATTTTTTTGTTTTTTGAAAATAATTTTTAGAATAATGATACAGACATTTTATTTCTTACATTTGTGATGATTCTTTTTTCCTCTCTATATTCAAGGGACACTATAGTCACCACTATAGGGACACTGCTCTTCTTGGTTAGGTGCGCTGGTAAAACTTTCCTGTTGAACACAATGGTCGGCTGCCCTGGGTTGTTGCGGTGGTTGCCTTTCCCAGCTTCCTCGGTTCAAACGAGGACACTGGTTCTTGTATTGTCCTGGTTGTTTACAGTAATGACACACTGCAGGGGGTTGAGGTGTTACTGCTGGGCCTTCTGGTGGGTTGCTTATGGAGGCTCTAGGGGTGGCAGTTGGTGCTGGAGCCGGGTAGTTGGGCTTAAACATGGGTCTGCTCCCCCCCGTTCCCTCCTCCTGTTGTCTTGGTATTCATCCGCTAGTCTGGCAGCTTCCTCCCATGGGCGTAGGAAAAATCTGGGTGGGATAGCATTTTTACTCGCCGGGTATATTCTTATTCCGTAAACTAGGAGTTGTTTATCCCATTGTACAGCGCTACGGAATTTGCAGTTGCTATATAAATGATTAAATAATAACATTAAAGGGTCACTACAGGGAAGGGATTTTGCTTACTCGGATACAGCGCCGGGATCCTCCTGATGCCGCGGCCCCTATTTCGTCATTTTGGGTGCGAGCAGGGAGCAATAAAATGCTTCTATTCAGAAGCGTCATTGCTCTCTGGTGCGCATGCGCAGCTTTGCCGCACATGCTCAGATACTTCATAGGGCGGCATTCATGTCTCGACTTGGAAGCATCTCTAGTGGCCATCTGAGTGTCCACTAAAGGTATTCCTCAGCATTAATGTAAATACTGCCTTTTTACGAAATGGCAGTGCTTACATTAAAAAGCCTGCAAAGACATGCTATAGACACCAGAACTACTACGTTTAGCTGTTGTGGTTCTGGTGACTATAGTGTCCCTTGAATATAGAGAGGAAAAAAGAATCATCACAAATGTAAGAAATAAAATGTTTGTATAATTATTTTAAAAAAACAAAAAAATATGCATATTCCTAGCTTAATTTTTAGCACGACATATGACACAAACATTTTGTACTTTGCAGATTACTTTTTATATTTTTTTTATACATATACAGATTGTGTAATACTGCCCCTGACTTAGGGTGACCACATTTCCTAACTGTCATTCAGTGACACTGTCAGAAATGCATTCCATACATTTTACTACCCGTTTCTACCCCTTCCATTTATATTAGAACCCCATCTACCCCTTCCATGAATATTAGAACCACCCCTACCCCTTCCATGCACAAAAGAACCCCACCTACCCCTTCCACGCATATTAACCCCCCTACCCCTTCCATGCATATTAGTACCCCCTAACCCCTTCCATGCATATTAGTACCCCCTAACCCTTCCATGCATATTAGAACCCACCCTACCCCTTCCATTCATATTAGTACTCCCCTAACCCCTTCCAATAATTTTTCTACCTC